AACCCAGCAGTCACCGTATTTCTGAGCTGTAGGCAGAAATATATAGGCATTTAGACATAATTTGTGCTCACTGTTTCAAGCTCAACTTCATTTTCATCTTACATACCGGATAGCTCAAACACAGATCGATTTTATTAATGGCAACATTTCTATTGATCATTTCCCGATGTTCGTTTTTAGCGGTGCACGTTTCAGTCTAAAGGGACTGACAAATCTATTTTTTTTTTTTTATAATTACCTGTATTTTTTAAAGGATTGATGCTATTACTATAGAAATACTTGTGACCAGTGAATATATTTCTACGTGTTTAACCCCTTAACTGGGAATCAAAAATTAGTTTTATAATTGGAGCACAGAAGAGAAAAAGAGCTGAGGAGACATGGAAAACGGGTAAACTTGCAAAATTAACATCTTGGTAAAATCCAATCGATATATCAGCGACTAATACTGCTCATCAAAATAAAAAAGCCTCATCTACATCCTCTATTGCAGTTGTCCCCAAATGGCGGTCCGTGGACCTTCACCGGTCCGCATGCCTATCGCTACCGGTCCCCATAACATAAATATTTAGTGTCAAATAGAAATAAAAGTATAAAAATAAATCATGCACCGGTCCCTGGTGAAATGTCGAAACTTGTTCACCGGTCCGCCAGACTTAAACGTTTCGGAACCACTGCTCTATTGGAGCCAGCCATCTAGTTCCAGACAATACCATTACCTATTTCCTCTTCTGGTGGAAATTGTAAAAATTGAAACACACAAAGCTGTGTCAGAAAACGAGAGTGTGTGATTCACGACACAGATCTCGGGCTATCTATAGAATATTAAGAACATTTGTACAGTTGAGTACTGAATTCGCGGTGGGCCATCATTGTGTCAGAATCATGGCTGCAACCTTTCAAACTCAGGCAGAGCTGGAGAAGAAAGAACTATGACAAGGTATTTATCAAGAAATATGTTCAAACGTGAACTGCGGAATGGTGAGTGCGTAAAACTTGAATGGCTTCTCTATTCCCCATACCAAGGTGGTTTGTATTGTTTTGAGTGTCGTCTATTGTACAAAAAAGTATTTCCCTTTTGCTATATCAGGATTTAAGTACTGGAAACATAACAATCTAATTGTAGAACATGAAAATGGAGTAGTGCATTGAAAGGACATCACTGCATATTTTCTTCGACTGAAAGAAACTAGGTGTTTAAGTCCTTTATTAATCAAAGACCGGAGATCAAAACTGAAGTACTGGCATCAAGTTCTGACTTGTGGGGTTTGTATCGTTCGCTTTCTTTCCTCCAGAGGTTTGGGTCAAACTATTGGGTCAGTAAACATTGGAAATTCTTTAAGTATTTTAGAGCTGCTGAGTGAATTTAACCCTTTTTTGGAAGAGTATCTCAAACTGTATGGAAATGCTGGAAAGGGTAACACATCATATCTGTCGGCTAATGTTTGAGATTTATTGATCTAATCGGGCAACATGTCCTTTGTGCTATTATGGAAGAAATTACAGTCAAAGTATTATTCAATAAGTTATGATTCCAGTTCAGACATTTTAAACATTGATCACCTGACATTTACGGTCCGGTACATTCGAGGATGTAAGTCTGTGGAACGTTTTATCAAGTTAATTTCTATATGGGCTTAAAAGCAGAGTGTTGTCTACAAGTTGGAAAATTCTTTGACTTTTTTTCAGCACCTATATACTCTTTTCTTAACGTCCACACATCGATGGAATGTTCTGGTATCTTCCTTTGGAAAATCTCTCGTTGTCGTAAAGCATCTGTCTGACACAAGATGGTCGGCCACATTTAGTTGCCGTCAACGTTTCGAAAAAAAAAATACAATATCAGGAAAAGAAAAAAATCGAGGCGTGAGGCAGAAAGGCTAAGTAATAAAATGGAGAACCTGATAATTTATCATCATCTGGGATGACGTTTTAAAACCATTATTGCAATAGAATGATTTTTTTCTTCTTTTAAATAAGTTGTGTTACCCTATTTTTAACTTTATTGAATGTTAATTCTTATTTTACCAAGTTATTCCTCTTGGTGAATTGGGTTGGGAGCAACAACTGTTTGCGCCACCCTCCCACTGTTTGAGTATGAGGTGAGTGCCCCATTTTGCCCCCCTCCCCATCTAACGACGGTGTGTTGTGTTCCTGGCGGCCCAAGTGCATTGCTGTGACCATGGCCCCCTATGTTCTTAAGACGGCCCTGATCATGGGGGAAATGGTGTAGCGAATATTGGGATTCTTAAATGTGCGTTACTTGAGTTCATGTTTTGTCAAGTACTTCACTAGATGGGAAGTACACACATTGCTGTCGCCAATGTTTGGCGGGCTATATCTAGTTATAAATATTACCTCAGAAGTCGACCTTTTAGAGTTAAATATTCATGTTTGGCTCTATCCGTCCAAGGGCGTAAAAGCGAGGATACTTTGTGTAACCACTTTTTAAACCAATGGGGAAATATGCGTCTTAAAGTCTACACAAATAACCCAGTTTTGGAAATGTAATCGTTTGATGATTTTTTTTTTTAAACACCCCCCACCCCAAAAAAAAACGTTTAAAAAAACATAAAAAACGTGAAAACATTGATGCTCATTAAACTGGAAATGTTCTGAAATGAATTTTAATTTTAACCGAGCCACAATCTCGGGGGTTAGTTGACTAAGTTGGTCGTAATTTTAAAGTCATAATACTATTGACGATCAGTTGCGTACCTTGAATAAATGGCGCCCTGAGTGAAGTCCAGAAATTGAGCCCACCCCAAAGCCCCAACCCCTGAAAAAAAAAAAAAAAAAAAAAAAAAAATTAAAAATACTTTCCATATATTCAATTCTAGCATTGCTTTTATTAAGTATTAGGCTGGTATTGGTCTTTAATTTAGTATTATATGATGCAACAACAGTTCATTCATATTCATAAGAAACAACTTTTAAATGTTGAAATGTGTTAACATTAAATATTTAAAACAGTTTTAAGTTGTCTCCTACATTTTTTTCATTGCAAAGTCATTTAGCACATCCTCGAAGCCAAATTTTCTTACCCCGTCTGCTTCTAAATTCAGTAAAGTTACAGCCCCTTGTTTCATAGTTGTTCTCGAGAGATTTTGTATATCGTTTAACTGAGAAAATGAACGCTGAGCCATTGGTTATCAATAATGCTAAAAAATATGTGGAATCCAATAACATTTGGAAGAGAACACTCAATAATTGGCCTTCTATTTTTAATGTTATTAAGTTCCACATGAACATGGATGATTTTTAAAGATAAAAAACAGTTTTTGTTGCATTAAAATTATGCCACACATATGAATGAAATATCTAAAGCTCAGCTGCAAAATTAATTTAATCTGGGTAAGCTTTAATAAGTTGTTCACAACCTTTAAAATACACACTTCTGCGAGTTCTGCCAAACTTGCAGTTTTCCATCCAACTAGTGACAGCACTAAACAATAAAAGTTATAAAACAAAGAGTCGTCCGAGCTAGTCAATATAATATAAAAGGGGGCGTCCATTAATTACGTCAATAATTTTTAAGCAATTTTTACCCCCTCCCCTTTGTCAACAATTGTCAAACTTCAATGACCCCCCCCCCCTCCTTTTTTCCCCAAGTAATTATGTCACAATTTTTTAAACCACCCCCTCCCCCCAAAAATGAATTATAATATAAATAAATATTTAAATACATTTTATTTTTTGCTGATCTATTTTAATGACATAAGATTGTGGGAAATTCTTTATTGCATCTTTACCTTGTTAATAAACAATTCATTTACCACAAACAGAATCTGCAGGCGAAGAAAGGCCAAATTTTGACTTCTCTTGCACTAACGTGACATTGGAGATCACGTTGGTGGGTCCTCGAGCACGAGCTCATAATACCCCCCCCCGGGCACACCTCCATACGGGCCAGACGCCGGGTCTCCCCGTCACCAGACGTCAGGAACTTCCCCCGTGGCCCGGGGGACGTCTGACCGACTGAAAACGCTGCGTTTAAAGCGTTCGCGGTCCACTCTCCTTGGGTCTGAATTGCTTTGCTTCCTCTCTGGGGAAAAGTGTTGCGTTACCTCCCTCCACCGTCCAGGGAGTTGTCAGGTCGGGACAAAAGCGGGGTCGAAACGGTCGCTTAGGAGCGGCTTTCTCGGGGCCGCGTAGCTAAAATCATCGGCAAGGGTTTTAACCACCACCCAGGCTTCATATCCATTATCGGCAACAAGTAATCATATTATTGCGTTTCTTCCGTTGCGTTGGAAGTCATGCAAGTGGCCGGGGCTTTTGGCTTCGGGTGGAGACCTCCCTACTAGTCTGGCACGCCACGAAGAGGCAAACCCCATGTGATACCTCCAAGTTGCCTCGGTGGCGCGGGACTCCGACTTAGAGGCGTTCAGTCTTCGTCATCCCAGCTTGCACTAACAAAGTGTGCTAACATTCTGACCAACCATTCTGTGCAGTGCACAGACCTTAAATAAATCTTATATTGTTAAAAGACTAAAAATTCTATAACTATTTACACTCATTAAATTTTTTTTAAATGGTGTAATAACCGATCAATTTTTAAGATTAAAATGTTAATAGAGAAAACATGATTGTTGACGTCAACTAATCTACCCCCCCTCCCCCACCCCTCTAATGATTGTAAAACATTTCCACCACCTCCCCCCCCCCCTTATTTTGTTTACATAATTAAAACATGATTGTTGACGTCAACTAATCTACCCCCCCTCCCCCACCCCTCTAATGATTGTAAAACATTTCCACCACCTCCCCCCCCCCTTATTTTGTTTACATAATTAATGGATGACCCCAAACTGTAATTCTCAAAGTTTGTAATTTCTTCTTCTTGCTTGCTTTAAACTTGCATGATTATGAGCAGAAGAAAAAATACGTCCATAATAAAATTTGTTTGTCCGTAAAAAAATATTTGAAGTTGGCAGAGCGTCTTATAGTGAAAATATTATGGGGTGTGTTATTTGGTTGTCACCGCAGGTATTATCCAATCAGGCAAGAATACGGAAGTAACAACATTGAAAAATACAACAGTTCATTCATTGGATTTGAACTACAAACTTATTTATTTGGGACATTAACTTATTTGAAAGTAATTAATTATGGCGACTGATGAAATATAAGTTTACTTAACGAATAACCTCTCTGCTATTTTAGAATACTGTTTTTTTGGGGGGGTTTAGATCGGTGATAATTAAATAAGCGGAGGCCTTGCCGTGGCGTAGTAAAGAATAGTGCGTGCCAAAGTAAGCTACCTGAACACTCCTGAGTGCGACAGGTATCTCAGTCTCAGGTAAATGTGGTTTTGCGTTAAACTTACCTGTGGTTAGTAAGATCTAAAACGTAAATAAAAGCTGGGGGAATATGCTTATTTTATTTTGGTATTCTTCTTCCTTATTGTTGTGAAAGATTTTATATTATTTTTTTTTAAAACTCTGATAGTAAAATTTAATAATTAGCTAAGCAAGGTTAGATCTATATTCTAGTTCTAGTATCAAATCTTCAAGTATCAATAACAATATCATTAGTCTTAATTCTTAAGCAACTGACATTCTGAAACATTCTTCAATTTATCTACAAGTAAGGCATCTTGTTATGAGTTAAGTCTCCAGGTAGATGGTTAAAATGTAATTATTTAAGATCAAGGAGGGGAAATAAGTCGATTTTAGTGAAGTGGGATCATGTGATATTTGATTAATTAAAATACTAACAAAACTACTATGAGATCATCATTGATCTGTGGAATTTTTTTCCTGAATCATCTGTAAATACTCTATACTGTAAAGTAATTTGAATAAGCATTTTACAAACTACCATGGCTTCAAATACAATCCTAGTGGATATTATTATTAAAAATTATTATCAGGAAAATAGTATGTTAGGGTTTATTCCATTATCCAACATGAAGAATCAGAAGCTAATTCCTGAATAAGAAATGTATCTCCTATGATGGACTTTAGATATACAAAATGTGTTTAATATGTTTTACACAATTTTAATATAGGTGGGTGGGGTACCTGGTAGGAGGTCTAAGAAGTTTTTACAGTTTATGACACAGGGGTGGGGGCAAAGATCATGTGTGACATCGCAAATTAATGTTCTCTTGTGATGGATGTATTCTGACAGAAGTTGTCACTCTTATTACTTTAAAGTTTAAAAATGAAGTGTGTTTAGATTAAATTCTAACTATATAATTATAATTATTTACACTTTTTACAAATTTGTTAGTTTGAATATATGATGTTCTTTAGGAGGGATTTGTGATATAGAAGGGGGGGGGGGTAAATTGTCAAAATATAGTGTGAGATACTTTATGGACGGCCCATATTTATATAACTGACCATTTACATCACAAACCATCCATCCATGTGATGCTAGGGCCCATGTATTGCTTTGGCCTGCCACACCACATCCTTCCACTCAGACCTTACTGATGCTTTTCTTTTTCATGCTTGGATTCCCAGCTGCTGTAATCTTTTTCCACATCATCCATCCATCTAAGCCTAGGTCTGCCTTTAAGCCCTTTTCCTCTGGTGTTTGGGTGATGCACCCTCTTCACTCCACTCTCTCTTGGCATTCTTTCTAAATGTCCAGCCCAGTGTAGCCTACCCTTTTTCATTTCTGCTACTAGTGTGATATCCTGATAGACACTATACAATTCCTTGTTGGTACGTATTCTCCATCACTTAAGCCATTATTAATTTCAATTTGTTTTAATTTAAGAATAACATTTTTAGTAACTAATTGGTTACATTTTCATGAAGACTTCTATATTCTGCATAAAAGACTTCTGCATAAAAGCTAAAGTTTATCAATTTTTGTCTTGTTTAAACATCAGAATGTCAATAAGTCTTTCATAAGCTTAGTTAGGCTACATTTAAACTCTGATAAATGCTTCAAAAGATTTTGTCAATATATGTTTACATTATTTAGCCATATTAGAATGCAATCCTGGTTGAGTCTGGCACAATTGTATGACATAGTACAGCAGCTGTTGTCACGCACACACAACAGTAACAGTTATATAATTCTGATAGGTCCATTATTTATTCACCACTGTTACGGTATAAACTCACTGTTGTTGGGGTCGTTGTTGTTCTTTAAAATTTTCTGATTAATCCATTTTTTTTTTTTTAAATCTTCTCTTTAAGGTTTGATCACAGCAGATTTATCTAAGCCGGCAGCTGTACAATATAGAAAATGCCTTCACGAAAATCAGAGAGAGCTCCACCCATTGCAGCAAATGGTAATCTGGAACACATGTTTTATTGTTGTCTGTTTATAATTCATTACTTAGTGATGTTAGGTTTTAAGTCATTAATTAGTGATGTCAGGTTATAAGTTATAAGTCATTAATTAGTGATGTCAGGTTATAAGTCAATACTTAGTGATGGTCAGGTTATAAGTCATTAATTAGTGATGTCAGGTTATAAGTCATAACTTAGTGATGTCAGGTTATAAGTCATTACTTAGTGATTTAAGGGTTATATTAAAAAAAAAGATACAAAGATGTATAAAGTTAACTTAATGCATTCACAAGTTGACAACTTCATGAAACAACTCAGTATAATTATATCATGATATCTGGTGATTAATAAATTTTAATATTTTCTTTGCAAGGATCAAAATAAATTTTAAAAAATGATTTTCAACAATGTTTCCGTAACCGCTTTTTGTAACTGATAATGTCAATATATTACCCAAAAATATATACCCATGTTTTGATTGTGGAACAAAGGCTTGAAGGGGTCCTCTAAATCAAAGTTGCTCTGGGAATTTAGACCCTCTCCCCCCTTCAAAGCGTGATATTTTTATTTGCCTTAGGCTTGCAGCATGTGAGAGTGAAACGTGGGGATTGATCAGAAGGCTACTGCTGTTTTGTTAAATTAATGTTAACATTTTGTATTTAGTGAATTGTATTATTTTATAGTTGTGTCTGAGTTAAAACAAAAATAGCAATCCTATGTTTAGAGATGCTCTTGATTTAAACTGACTTTGATCTTCAAAACTTCCTGCAACCGTTCACCCAGTTATTAGTGATACAGAGGTGATAGTTAGCTATTATTGGTGATACAGGGGTGATAGTTAGCACATTATTTCAATAAACCTAAATATACATAATAAATTAATAACTTCACTTATAGTACGCGATATCTATAAATATTCACTTCTGTGTTGATTAATTATCTTTACTATTGTCTTCACATTACTACACAATTTTATTATAGCAAAGAATCACCAAAGGACGTTTCCAACATGGCTGCTCAAACTCGTCCATTATATCTATGTAATATTGTGTCTCAGTTGATTCCATCCAACATCAAACTAGCACACACAAAGTTGTACTGTTACAAGTTATGTCTGAGTTAAAACAAAAGAAAATTGTATGTTTAGAGATGTTTGTGATTTAACTTGATTTTGAACTTCAAATTGGCACAACAAACAAAAACAAACCTGAATCAAGATGCAGTTATTTTTATTGCCTGGCTAGAAAGCATACCTCATTTGGGTTGTTTAGGAATATTTGACAATGTGAATTGAGTATTCTGAGCTTGTACACCTAAGACAGCATATTGGTATCTTGTTTTGAAAAGATGCTTTTGCTGCGATGCAAGAATTCCTTCCGGAGTTGGAGGACTATGGGGCCGCCCACGAAGAGTTGGACTTGTTGAATGACATCCTCGGAGGAGAGCCAGAATACCAAGCTTTAACAGAGGTGAGTGCCTGCAGAATGCCAAGCTTTAACAGAGGTGAGTGCCTGCAGAATGCCAAGCTTTAACAGAGGTGAGTGCCTGCAGAATGCCAAGCTTTAACAGGTGAGTGCCTGCAGAATACCAAGCTTTAACAGAGGTGAGTGCCTGCAGAATACCAAGCTTTAACAGAGGTGAGTGCCTGCAGAATACCAAGCTTTAACAGAGGTGAATGCCTGGAGAATACCAAGCTTTAACAGAGGTGAATGCCTGCAGAATACCAAGCTTTAACAGAGGTGAATGCCTGCAGAATACCAAGCTTTAAAAGTGAAAAGTCTGTTTCGTCATCAGATATTTAACATGTCACGGCTCTTACTTTATGAAGGTTTCAGATTTCTGATTCATAAAAAGTTGAAATCTTTTGCCAGTCTCACGAGTCTTAATTTTAAACAAACAAACAAAAACTGGATGATTGATTGGCTGAGAATGTTGTTTGAAATGTTAAATTCACATAAATGCACTATCACTTGGTTTCTGTTAACAGGAGTCTCACCTCAGTGTCATTTTTCTGTGTTCATTATGTTCTATCACTATGTACATGTCTTTCAGTGTTGTACACAATGTTGTACATGCATGTCAGTGTGGTACCCAATGTTATACATGTCTGTCATTGTTGTACCCAATGTTGTACGTCTCTGTTGGTGATTTATCCACGGTTGTACATGTCTATCAGTGTGTAGACTATGTTACTGGCCACACTAGATTCACTATATTTCTCTCTTGCAGATCTACGACATTCTAACTATGGAGCTGCCCAAACATGAATCGGAAAATGCAGGAGAAACATTGCATGATGCCATCGACATCATATCTTCCCAGGCATCCTCTAGCAAATTGGCCTCAGAGCTCAGAGAGATTTTCCAAAACCCACATTTCAAAGTAAGTTTGGTTCAGAAACTGGACATTCGTAAAAATAAGTTTTTTTATTGGTCGGAGTAAATCAAGTTCTACTTTTCATTTTATCATTGTATTAACATTATCAATTGTAAGCAAAGAAATAGCGGAGGAAAATCGTTTTAAAATAAAGGAAAAAGTTAGCTGCAAATGAAATCAAACTTTGTATGTCTGTCTCACTCTGTTCGCATGCTCAGCATTTTTTTCCGTTCTTCAGTTTCTTCTGTACACCCATGATGATGTGGCCAGGAAGATTTACGACCCAATTGTTTTGGAGGATCTCACCTTGGCTGCCCCGCCGCCACCTGTGTTTGATGCCGTTGGAGAGCAGCACAGATATGTGACCATTAGGAAAAATGGAAAACAGCCATTGGTGGGTAGAAGTTATTTGATCTAGATTAGCTATTGGACGGTTGTAGAAATGTGATTTGCCATTGGTTGATTGTAGTGTTACAGCATGGCCATTGGTGAATAGGACCCATGTGAAAATGCAAAGTCATGCATGTTACTTCATTATTAAAGTAAATAATTGCGTTCATGAATGCAAATTTCAGGGGGTGGGGGGGGGTGAGGGGTAAATATTTTACCAATCTCTTTGTCTATCACACCACATGAGATGGGTGCTAGCAAACTCTCTTGTTCTTAAGACTAGCCACATTGTTTTTTTAAAGGTTGATACAAGTTCAGGCTGAAGATAAGCAGCTGTCCCATCTTCTCATCAGTTTATTTAAGACCAACCCAGCTGAATGTTGCCTGTGACCTCTTAATTAGGGACTCCTGCTTTGAAGTGGTCATTAATAATTTTTTTAACCCTCAAATTCCCTAGGGCATCACCGTGCGTTTAGACCAAGACAATGTTCCAGTCATTGCCAGAATCTTACAGGACAGTTTGGCAGATAAGCAAGGTGAAGGTCACAATGTTCAGTCATCGCAGTATAAGAATAATGAAACATAGCCAGTCATAGACTTATCACATGTTGATAGATTTGTAAATACTTGTGTTCAGATTTACTGCACTATGTTAATCCACTTTTCATTAATAATTGTTACCCGAAGGATTACTGAGAGTGGGGGATATCGTCAAGGAGGTCAACGGCATCCCTGTGTTTGTGCCAGAAGACATGATGATTGTATTGAAGGAGGCAGAGAGTTCAATCACGTTCAAGATCGTCCCATCAGCCCTAGATCAACAGTTCTCTGACCCCGTGAGATTGGTTCATCCGCACTCATATACTAACATACACACACACTACATTACATATAGTTTCACATACTGATGTTTACTCCAATTTTATTTATTTCATTAGATCAATTATATCCAATTTAACAATAATTGTTTGCATTGCATTCAATTTAACAACAATAATTGCCTCTATTTTATCTTATTTAACATCAATAATTACATCTATTATGTCTAATTTAACATCAATAATTGCATCTATTATATCCAATTTAACATCAATAATTGCATCTATTAATGTCCAATTTAACAATAATTATTGCATCTATTATATCCAATTTAACAACAATAATTGCATCTGTTATATCTAATTTAACAAAAATAATTGCATCTATTATGTTCAATTTAACAATAATTGCACCTATTATATCAAATTTAACAATAGTTGCATCTATTTTATCCAATTTAACAATAATTTCATCTATTATATCCAATTTAACAATAATAATTGCATCAATATATGCAATAAGTACCATAATTGACTCCAATAAACTAAAGCTACATAAGATTGTGTTCTAATAAATTAAATCAAGAAAAAAATCGGTTGATTATCAAGTATTTGTATCATTGTTGATATTTTTTCCCCCACAGGTGTACATGAGAGCTTGTTTCAACTATGACCCCTTGAATGACCGACTGATTCCATGCAAGAAAGCCGGACTGCCCTTTAGAGAGGGGGACATTTTAGATGTGGTAGACATGACAGATGACAACTGGTGGCAAGTAGGTTTGGCAGATGTGTGCCATAGGGGTATATTTGGTGGGGTAATCAAGGTGTGTGCCATAGGGGTATATTGGGTGGGGTAATCAAGGTGTGGGCCATAGGGGTATATAAGGTGGAATAATCAAGGTGTGTGCCATAGGGGTATATAAGGTGGGCTAATCAAGGTGTGGGCCATAGGGGTATATTGGGTGTGGTAATCCATATGTATGTCATAGGACTATATAGATTGTAGTAGTAGCACAAGTGTATGTCATGGGGGACAAGATAAGAATTAACTTTGGTTTATGTTTTTAACAAATATGGTAACTAAAGGGTCCACTAAGTTGACTAAAGTAAAGGGTCCACTAAGTTGACTAAAGGGCTCCACTAAGTTGACTAAAGGGCTCCACTAAGTTGACTAAAGGGCTCCACTAAGTTGACTAAAGGGCTCCACTAAGTTGACTAAAGGGCTCCACTAAGTTGACTAAAGCAAAGGGTCCACTGCGTTAACTTAAGTAAAGGCTCCACTAAGTTGACTAAAGTGTCCACGAGTTGACTAAGGCAAAGGGTCCACTGCGTTAACTTAAGTAAAGGGTCCACTAAGTTGACTAAAGTGTCCACGAGTTGACTAAGGCAAAGGGTCCACTGCGTTAACTTAAGTAAAGGGTCCACTAAGTTGACTAAGGGTCCACTAAGTTGACTAAAGTGTCCACTAAGTTGACTAAAGTAAAGGGTCCACTGCGTTAACTTAAGTAAAGGGTCCACTAAGTTGACTAAGGGTCCACTAAGTTGACTAAAGTGTCCACTAAGTTGACTAAAGTAAAGGGTCCACCAAGTTAACTTAAGTAAAGGGTCCACTAAGTTGACTAAGGGTCCACTAAGTTGACTAAAGTGTCCACTAAGTTGACTAAAGCAAAGGGTCCACCACGTTAACTTAAGTAAAGGGTCCACTAAGTTAGATATCAAACGTTTTAAGGATATCTGGGGACTGAATCATGGCTGGAATCCCACTGGGAAGCATAGGAATGGCTTTTGTATACTTTTTTTAATTGCTAAGAAATTGAGATAAAAACGGGGGGAGGGGGGGGGGTGGGGGTGTGGGGTTTGTGGTCCTTGGTTGGGTTCCACCACTTTTTTCCCAGGCCTTAACCCCTGACATGAAATTGAACGTGATATTTCCAGGCCAAACTTGCTGAGATCCCTGTTGCCATTTTTTAATTGCTAAGAAATTGAGATAAAAACGGGGGGAGGGGGGGGGGTTGTGGTGTGTGGTTTGGTGTCCTTGGTTGAGTTCCCACACTTTTTTCCCAGGACTTAACCCCTGACATGAAATTGAACGTGATATTTCCAGGCCAAACTTGCTGAGATCCCTGATGCCCCAGTGGGTCTCATACCGTCAAGGACACTGCAAGAGAAGAGAAGCGCCTACGTGCAGCCTGAACTCAACAAAACAAAAACCAGTTTACGTAAGTAGGGTGGGAGGAGTGTAGTGAGTAGGGTGGGAGGAGTGTAGTGAGTAGGGTGGGAGGAGTTTAAGGAGTGCCAGTGTAGGGAGAAAGGCTGCTCCTAGTTTTTAATCTTTATATGCATCAAGAGGTTTTCATTAGTGTAATTTTTGGGTTCCATGCTCAAGGCGGTCTCCATGAACCTAAGTCTCCATAATTGTTAAGTTCCAAAATCATGGAGGTCTCCATGAGCCTAAATATCCATAATTGTTAGGTTCAAAAATCAAGGAGGTCTCCATGAGCCTAAATACCCATAATTGTTAGGTTCCAAAATCAAGGAGGTCCCCATGAGCCTAAATACCCATAATTGTTAGGTTCTAAAATCAAGAAGGTCTTCATGTATCCACAATTGTTGGGTTCCATATTGACCTATTTGATCCCCAACCATTTCATTTCTACTTGAAGACTAAGTTCTGCCTAAAGTCTGTTGTACAAATAAAAATAATGGATTGTGGTTTTTTTAAAATCTATTTTTTAAGGTAATGAATGACTTTATTAACATTGAAGAGTGTTGCTTTACTAACATTGAAGATTGTTGATAAGGAATGAATGGCTTTCTTAACATTAAAGGTTGTTCATGAATCCTTTCTTTGCCTATTTCAGTTTGTGGCCTGAAAACCAAAAGAAAGAAGCACATTGGATACAACTCATCAGAGACCACAAGTTAGTCATTTTATGTCTCTATATTGTGTTTTGCATTGTGATGTTAAATTTCAGTTAGATTAATGGTTCTAAATTAACCCGGAAATATAACATTTAAGAATAACAGAGAACAGAGAAAGGACGTGATTATAAGAAGAGTAAATACAAAATTGCCGAGTAGCAATCAGAAATTAATTTTTAAATTCTTGGAGAATTTAATTTGTAAAAACTTATTTATTCTTCCTGATTGGTTGGGGCAATAAATTTGAGTGGTGACAGCAGGAAGAATAGATTCATCTCAGACATAAAATGTGACAAAAATTCCACAACTAAAAATTTTATTTAGGGGTGGGGTCTTGCTACCATATTTTATTATTTATCATTCAGATAGTTTCTTTATTACATCTTTCGCATTTTATCTTATTTCTCAATTATAATGTAAATGCTGCTGTAAATATGTCATTCTGATTGTTCTATGTGCCTAAGCGATTAGCAGAGATATGATTTTAGTGACATGGATGACTGTGATATTTTTTTGTTCCTGTCAGGCTTTGACCGCTGTGACATTAAAGTGTACGAAGAAGTCGAGAGATCCAAGACCCATCGCTGCACCCTTGTACTCGTGGGGGCTCAGGGCGTGGGGAAGCGCTCATTCAAAGAGCGGCTCATCAGAGACAACCCTGGCAAATACGCAGCAGCTGTCCCACGTAAGATTTTATGGGGGCTTCTTCTCTGTACGGTACTCCCTATGGCACAAACCAATCAATCCAAATCTCTGCAAACTAAAAATTGATCTGAGATGTTGCATAAATATTTTTTTATCCTTGCATATTGGGCGTTTTTTTTTTTTTTTTAATTTTATTGTTTTTTTTTTTTAGGGGGGTGGGGGGGGGGGGTTGTTAAATTGAACATTCTAACAACTATTTCTACTACAGAACAACATAAGTGTTGCTGATAAGATCTCCCCCGTCTACTGTTTTAGCTCCTTTATTACGCTGTTAATTGTTGGCTGCCTTTATTCTCCACCAGACACAAGTCGTCCCAAAAAGCCCAATGAACAAGATGGCAGGGGCTACTATTTTATTGACGGTGAAACCATGGAAGAAGAAATCAAGAAAAACATGTACATCGACCACGGTGAATTTGAGGGTCACCTCTACGGCACCAGGCTGACCACCATCAAGGAGGTCATCCGGAGCGGCAAGATATGTGTGCTGGACATCTCTGCCAGGGTCAGTTTAAAAAAAATTTAAAAATCAATATTTTAAATGCCAAATGGTCTGCTGGACAGTGGCGAAGTACAAGGTAGCTGATAAACTTGGAGATGCCAAGGCGGCAAAGTACAGGGTAGCTGATAAACTTGGAGATACCAAGGTGGCGAAGTACAAGGTAGCTGATAAATTTGGAGATACCAAGGCGGCGAAGTACAAGGTAGCTGATAAACTTGGAGATACCAAGGCGGCGAAGTACAAGGTAGCTGATAAACTTGGAGATACCAAGGCGGCGAAGTACAAGGTAGCTGATAAACTTGGAGATACCAAGCAAACAGTGAACTTATCAGAGCTAACAGAAAAGACGAGTGGTGAAATGGATGGGCTGTGGTCCCAACCTAAAGAAGTGTGTTTCCACAAAGTGTAACACATATATTATGATACAATCAACACCAAAGTGTAACACATATAATATGATACCATCAACACCAAAGTGTAACACATATATATGATACCATCAACACCAAAGTGTAACACATGTATTATGATACCATCAACACCAAAGTGTAACACATGTATTATGATACCATCAACACCAAAGTGTAACACATATATTATGATACCATCAACACCAAAGTGTAACACATGTATTATGATACCATCAACACCAAAGTGTAAAACATATATTATGATACCATCAACACCAAAGTGTAACACATGTATTATGATACCATCTACACCAAAGTGTAACACATGTATTATGATACCATCAACACCAAAGTGTAACACATGTATTATGATACCATCAACACCAAAGTGTAAAACATATATTATGATATCAGCAATAACAATGTGTAACACATGTATTATGATACCAGCAATACCAATGTGTAACACGTGTATTATGATACCAGCAATACCAAAGTGTAACACATGTATAATGATACCATCCATAGCATTGTTTCTGTTGCTAATGTAAGTCATTGTCTTGTCTCAGTCGGTCAAGTTCCTCCAGTCACCTGAGTTCAAGCCTTATGTCCTATTCATTGCTGCCCCGAGTGTGGAGGCTCTCAAGGTCATGTACAATGAAGGAAAGAGAAAAAATAATACCGTGAGTACATAAGGGCCCCCCACAAAGACACCGACCACCACACACATATGACACCCCCCAAAAAAACAGTGATTATAGTCATTGTGCTCCCACCTACATACAGGTGCCCATCAGTTTACAGGTGCCCATCAGTTTACAGGTGCCCATCAGTTTACAGGTGTTAAACCACCATCTTGACTTGGGAAAAGTTGCAAGTTGTATTTTTGGTATCTTCAACTTAAGTCTTGTTTACCAATGTTTTAAAAATAAGGGGAGGGGGAAGAGGGAGGAGGTTAGAGGAGAGGCAGGAGCCCTGCAGTATCTACCCCACCCACCCCTTGCCCCTTCTATGGTTACTGTAAGTTCTAATGACACACTGCAAAGGAAGGTTCTTGCACCGATTCATGACTGCATGCACTAACCACACACTGTGCCCAAAATAGAAGTTTCATTGAATTTGAGTTGTAACCTTTTTTTGTCATACTGTAAAGAAAAAAAAAAATTACTTGATGAATGTGTTAGTAGGTTTTTTTGAAGGTGGTTGGTGTGTTTAAGTTAATGGGGACTACAAGTGGTGTGTTTAGGTTAGTGCAGACCACATGTGGTGTGTTAAAAGTTAGAGCAGACTACATGGGGTGAGTTTAAGTTTGTGAGGACTACACATGGTGTGTTTAAGTTTGTGTGGTGTGTTTTAAATTAGTGCGAACTACACAAGGTGTGATTAACTGAGTGCGGACTGCATGTGGTGTGTTTAAGTTAGTAGTGTGTTTAAGTTAATACGAACTACATTTGGTGTGTTTAAGTTAGTGTGGACTACATGTGGTGTGTTTCAGCTAGTGCGGCCTACATGTAGTGTATTTAAGTAAGTGCGGACTAGATTTAGTGAGTTTAAATTAATGATGACTACACATGGTGTTTAAGTTAGTGTGGACTGCATGATTGGTCAAACCTGTGTCAAGTGTTAAGTGACAAGTTTTTGTGTTTTATCCTCACAGGTGCTACGCCCGGGTGACAGGTCTGAACTCTTCCTGGTCAGTAGTGTTGTACAGAAATATGTTTTTTTTCGTTCTTCTCTCTCTTTTCTTATGGCACTAAACGTTATCATTTCCAATTTGTTGCTGTGGTCATTTCACATTGCTCATAATGTTTTTAACCTTTTTTTATTAACTTTGGCCTGATATCATTTTTTTTTTTTGGGGTTGTTATTTTGTAATCTTTCATTATCTTTGAATCTTTCATTATCTTTGAATCTCTCATTATCTTTGATTCTCTAATTATCTTTGATTCTCTCATTATCTTTAAATCTCTCATGGCGTAAATGCAGGAGGAGAAGTTCATTCGAACCGTCAACGAAAGCAAAGAAATGGAGAAAACCTACAAAGGATTGTTTGACGAGACCATTGTCAATGACGACTTTGAGAGGACGTACGAGACCATCTGTCATCTGATGGAGGAGCAGGAGAAGCAGCACAAGTGGGTCCCCAAGGATTGGAACGATTAGTCAAAATTAAATTTTTATAGGGATGTTGGTTAATGATGCATTTGTGGCATATTTTTTTTTAATGCCGAAATAATGCAACTCCAGTTGTTGTTTTTTATATGTCTTTGTTATTGGACACATAAAACATTCCATTGATGGGAATAATTGTATTCTCTTTGCCATCCAGTCCAACTTTTGAAAAGATGTATGAAAGAGAAGTGACTAACTTTAAAGTGAAAAGTAAGCAGAAGCTAAGGTTCCCTTTTTTTCAATTTTTTTTTTTTAAAATGAATTCTTGTATAGTTAAGTTTCCTTAATGGCTTATGCTTGTAACACTCTCATTGCTAAAGGGTAATTTTATTTTTATATCCTTTACATTAATACCATTATTTCGGTCAAATGTTTTTTTGTTTAGTGTGCATTTGTAGGCATTAATTTTTATATTGCTTAACAGTCGAATTTTTAACATGTTTTTATTTGCCATTGTTTCATCCCATCTGATGAGAATAGAAATATTATTGAAATAAGAACAGTTATGAGTAGAAGGAAACATGACATTCAGGTTGAAACCCACAACTTATCATCTCCTTTCAACCCAAAAATATCATCATTGGAGATGTATGAAGTGTAAATCCATTCAGCCTTTTAGCAGATCTGTATGTCCCCCACTCTGGCCCAGCTCACGGTTAAGATGTAGATTGCTGTCTTTAGTTCTTTTTGTTGCTCAAAATATGTTATTGTTTTTTTTTCTTCTTTCCTAATGGCCGACTGGCATTTACAGATATTTGAACAATCTCTTGTTACAAAGAAAGGGAGGGAAGAGGATCTTGGTTGGGGTTAGTTTTCTAGATTTCATTGAGGAGAAAAAACTCACTGCTCTGTGTTCATTTTTTAAAAGTTATTTTTGCTTCTACTTCTCAGATTTAATTTTGCTTTGTGATAATGGGAAAAAAGGAAAATTACTCTTGTAATAAATAATGGGTTTAAATTTTGAGCCTAATTAATTGTACAGATGTTGCCAGGATTTTATGCATGTGGCCAGGGTTTAGAGATTACGTTATAGGACCAGGTGTGTCTGTGTCCACGGCAGAGATCGGAATAAGTTTTTAAAAGTTTCTTGGGTTAAAGTGTTGTTGAAAAATTGGAATAAATTTTACACTTAATTCATTTCCAATGGCAGCAAAAGTCAACATGACAACATTGGTTGTCACGCACCTTATGACATTTGACGTCACCAACTGTTGTGACATTTTGATGTCACCATGAATGTTGGTTTGTATTAACCTTGTGTGTAGATTGGTGTGAACATAGATTTAAATAGATGTGTCAGTGCTTTGAAGAACATCAGAGCTTGTCTATTTGTGTGACACAGTTGCCCTACAATGTCATGTGACTGATTTCATGTCATGTGATTTGATTTTATGAAAACAAAGATGGTGTTGTTATAAGAATCACTGTTTGGTCCTTTACTATAGGTTGTGGCTGTTTGGTCCTTTACTATAGGTTGTGGCTGTTTGGTCCTTCACTATAGGTTGTGGCTGTTTGGTCCTTTACTATAGGTTGTGGCTGTTTGGTCCTTCACTATAGGTTGTGACTGTTTGGTCCTTTACTATAGGTTGTGGCTGTTTGGTCCTTCACTATAGGTTGTGGCTGTTTGGTCCTTTACTATAGGTTGTGGCTGTTTGGTCCTTTACTGTAGGTTGTGACTGTTTGGTCCTTTATTGTAGGTTTAGACTGTTTGGTCTTTTACTGTAGGTTTTGACTGTTTGGTCTTTTACTGTAGGTCTTGACTGTTTGGTCTTTTACTGTAGGTTTTGACTGTTTGGTCTTTTACTCTAGGTTTTGACTGTTTGGTCTTTTACTGTAGGTTTTGAATGTTTGGTCTTTTACTGTAGGTTTTGACTGTTTGGTCCTTTACTGTAGGTTGTGATGAGTTGTAAAAAATACCATAAACAGGCAGAGGTGGTTGTTGCTGTTTTTGTTAAACTTTGAATCTTGCATAAAAAAATCTGTAGTCAATTTATGTAAATATAACTTTTGGGTTGCCCTATTTGTTAATTCACATGATTTACAGACTTTGATGTCATTTGACTTTAATGTCACATGACTTATTGTCCTGTGACTGCCTTTAATGTCATGTGGGTTATTATAATTACAACCCCCCCCCCCTCCCTTTTGATTGATATTTGTAATTAGTGAAAGCCTTAAATGTCTATTATGATCCATAACTGGTTGAAATGTAGCCGATATGAGCATCAGTGTGTTAGCATATAGTATGATCTGTACTGTAAGTGGATGAAAGGTTTCCCATCAGCATATTAGTATGTTTGTGCATGTACATCATCGCCAGGGTTAAATGTGATATCTAAATCCATTTTTCTTTCTTTTTTTTTCCCTTCTAAACATTCCCTGCGACAGCAAATTTTATGCATTTTTACTTAAAATTTGTTGTATTATTTTTTTGATCAAACTCTTAATTTGTAAAGATGGAGGAACATCAACAGCAATCTTTGTTGGTTACCCTACATTGTAAACGATCTATCGTAAACTATACACGACATAATCATTCCTTATACATATCATATTGATCGGTTCTATATTAACTAATCACAGTATCAATACTTCATATTAAAATCTTGCCAATAATCCAAAGCATTCTTTTATTTTATTATTTTTATTATGTCGGTTAAGGGGCTGGATAACCAGAGGAGATTAAAGGAACCATGGTAGAATTGGTTGAAAGGAACCATGGTAGAATTGGTTGAAAGGAACCATGGTAGAATTGTTTGAAAGGAACCATGGTAGAATTGGTTTAAAGGAACCATGGTAGAATTGGTTTAAAGGAACCATGGTAGAATTGGTTGAAAGGAACCATGGTAGAATTGGTTGAAAGGAACCATGGTAGAATTGGTTGAAAGGAACCATGGTAGAATTGGTTTAAAGGAACCATGGTAGAATTGGTTTAAAGGAACCATGGTAGAATTGGTTGAAAGGAACCATGGTAGAATTGGTTTAAAGGAACCATGAAAAAATGTATTTAAAAGAACCATGATAAAATTGGTTTTATGGAACCATGTTCAATCAAATTGGTTTTAAAAAAACATGATAAAATTCGTTTAAAAGAACCATGTTAAAATTGGTACAGGAGAACTAGTGTAAAAGTGAAGAAAAAGGAACATTCAAATTGGAACAAGGGGTACGACATCCTGGATAAAATTAGATCCTAATGGTTGCTACATGGTCATCTTTGTGGTGTTGGAGTATGTGTGTGTCACCCTAAAATTGAGAGCACGTACAGGGGCCCGGATGGAGCTTTGTCCTCATAGTAGAGAAGACTGGATATCTCCTCACAGTGGTGCAGAAGTGGGGGTACAGCCCTCCTTTCAGAGGAAGAAAGTGGACCTTAAATCACACAAGAGAATGGATCACGTGGTTTCTGATGCTAACCCATAAATAATTTTTTAGCAGTCTGGTTTTAATACTTTAAATAAAGTAAACATATAAGATACTGCAACTTTTGTTCGTAGTATCTGTCTCCATGAATCCCTATGACGTCATTTAACTTTTGCTGTTTGATGAAATGACTTCCCTTGGTTTTGTTCATCCCGAAGCAGATGGCGCTAACCCCTTGAAATGTTGAAACATGGTGTCATTCACGTGCTTGCTTACTAATGTCAAACTAGTAGGGATACGAAAGTGCATGTGTTTGTTTGTTTTTTTTATTTGAAAACATTGTGAAGCTGGCTCACTTTTGATTGGTACAACCCCCCCCCCACACACACACACCTTTTTCCACCAAAAAAAAGGTAAAGATTTACCCCCCCCCCCCACCAACCGTAGGTCTACACCCAGAACCATGTGTACAATCGTCACCAATCACCGCAAACACACACCAGGCAGGACACCCCCCCCACCCCACCCCACTCTGTCACACGTGTTTAAATAAGAGAAAAATGGGCGGTGGCCAGTCGAGTAATCACGCGCCATTTTCATCGGAGTTAATTAGAAGTAAACAATGAAGAAAGGGAATTAAATATCTCCTTATATTTTTTTTTTCTTTAAACTTATTTGTCGAGTTTGTGTAAAAAAAAAAATATCGCATTTGGACACCCACAAATTCCAACCTTGTTGTGTGGCAATTTAGTTTATAAAGATCCACATTTTAAGTACTATTATAAGAATTTAGAATGAAGATAAACTTGGTGACAATCCTCCCGCAAGCAATGTCTTTTTGTTTACAATCCCGGTGCAACACATCTGGATGGCGTGAATAATACGCCGGCTTAATTAAGCCGACTGTCTGCCAAAGTTAACAAGCTTGTGGCAGTGACACCTCCGCGACAACACCGCCATTGGCGGGGGGGGGGGGGTTTTTGCATGTGTGACGTCATGAATGGGTGGGGGAGGAGGGGGGAAAACGAAACCCCGCCCGTACCGTTAAGGCGTGAATAATACGCCGGCTTAATTAAGCCGACTGTCTGCCAAAGTTAACAAGCTTGTGGCAGTGACACCTCCGCGACAACCCCGCCATTGGCGGGGGGGGGGGGATTTTTGCATGTGTGACGTCATGAATGGGTGGAGCAGGAAGGGAGACAACGAAACCCCGCCCGTACCGTTACGTGTGAATAATATCTCGCCTAAGCCTAAGTATCGGATTAGCGGAGTTGTCGTACTTGTTTCGTTGTGCCGCTTGCAAATATGGCAGATCCATGGAGGTTTTGCTATACTCAGGTGAGGCCACTACCAGGTGGGGGCTTGTCCATGGAGGTTTTGCTATAGTCCGGTGAAGCCACTTCCAGGTTTGGCCTATCCATGGAAGTTTTCTATACTCAGGTGAAGCCACTACCAGGTGGGGCGTGTCCATGGAGGTTTTTCTGTAGTCTTGTGAAGCCACTACCAGATGGGCTTGTCCATGGAGGTTTTGCTATAGTCATGTGAAGCCACAACCAGATAGGGCTTGTCCGTGGAGGTTTTCTATAGTCATGTGAAGCCACTACCAGTTGGGGCTTGTCCATGGAGGTTTTGCTATAGTCAGGTGAAGCCACTTCCAGGGGCGGTCTGTAGAGGCCGACCGAATTTTGGCTTCGGCTTCGGTTTCGGCGCCGAAAGTGGCCATTTTATCACTTTCGGCCAAGTTTCGGTTTCGGCCGAAACTGGAAAGTTAACTTTCGGCTTAATTTCGGTTTCGGCCGAAAGAGAAAAGTTAACTTTCGGTTTTTCTTCGGTTTCGGCCGAAATTGACTTAGACTTTCGGCCATCCGGCCGAAAGTTACTCAGGTTTTCGGTCATTTAATACTAAGCGAAAGCGATATTTTACAACAAACTAAGCGACATTTAAGAACAAATTAAGCAATCTTTGAGAACAAACTAAAGGATATTTAACAACAAACTAAACGACATTTATGAACAAACTAAACGATCTTTAAAACAAACTAAGCGATCTTTAAGAACTATCTAAGCGATATTTAATAACAAACTAAACGATCTTAAAGAACAAACTAAACGATTTTTAAGACCGAACTAAATGATCTTTAACTTTAAGAACAAAACAAATGATCTTTAATGATTTATAAGAATAAACTAAGCGATCTTTAACAGAAGACTAAATGTTCTTTAAAAACAAACTGAAAGATCTTTAAGAACAAACTAAGCGATCTTTATGAAAAAAGTAAGCGAATTTATAACAAACTAAGCGATCTTTATGAACAAACTAAACGATCTTTAAGAACAAATAAAGCGATCATTAACAAAAACTAGACGATCTTTAAAAACAAACCAATGCGATCTTTAAGAACAAACTAAACGATCT